GAGTTCATTGGCATATTTACGTCAGTCTGCGTCCATCCACCCCCACTTACGTCTGTCTGCAGCGTCCATCTACCCCCTGTATATTAGTCTGCGTTCATGCACCACTTATACGTCAGTCTACGTTCATCACCACACCTACGCTAGTCTGCGTCTATCCACCAAAACACTGCTATTCTGCGCTCACACATCTGCACCTAAAGTTGATTGCATCCACTTCACTTACGCAGTACTACAAACATCCTTGAGGTTACCTTGAGGTGCTTTTCGGGGCTTAGCGTCTCCGCGGCCCGGTCGTCGACCAGGCCTGAAACTCAAACAAACAGGCCTCAAACATCCGCTACACTTGGATTCATATATCAAATATACGCCATATTACGCCCACTCATAAAACTTACTCCAGTCTGCGTTGATCCAAAGAATCTACGCCCCCAATTATTTTTCACCCACTTAGTATGCTGGGTCTTCGAAAGTCGAGGATGTTGATATGATATAATTTTTTTTTGCTGTAGACTAATTCTTCTTGTTCTATGTGACAGTTCTTATATTTTATAGTCAAGTTGTAATATTTACGGTCCTGTTATTACTGTTAAAATAATTTCTAGTATTTTTTATGGCTCTCATGTTTCTTGAAGACTTATGGCCACTTGTTCTTTATTTATTCGTTGTGAATATTTATTCCCAACTTGTTTAAATTTTATATCATGTCTCGTTTATCTATCCTCTTTTTTTTTTAGTGACGTTAGGTCCAGTTCTTTCAGTCCTTCTTCGTAGCTCATCACACGTAATACTAATCTTGTCCGAAACGCTGTGCGTATTAGTGACTTTAGGCATAGTATGTACTTGCTTTATCTAGAAATCCAACATTCTGCTTGTAAACAGTTTCCCCAACACTTGGACTGGACGGTAGAGCCACGGTCTCGCTTCCTGCAGGTCGGTGTGTAATCCCAGACCGTCCAAGTGGTTGGGCACCATTCCTTCCCCTTCCCCCCCCCCCGCCCCATCCCAAATCCTTATCCTTACCTCTTCCCAGTGCAGGCGATGAGTCACAATAACGTGACTGATGTATGTTGACCAGACCACACACTAGAAAGTGAAGAGACGACGACATTCCGGTCCGTCCTGGACCATTCTCAAGTCGATTGAGAATGGTCCCAGTGTTACATACTCGTAATGGCTTGGCGCTTTCCCCCATGATAATTAAATTTTTTAAACACTTTGCAACGGGGGCTGTTGCAAACCTTTGTACCTTTTCGAGTTTCCACATACTTCATGACTAGTCTTACGTAGCTGGTGTTCAATACAGTATTGTAAATGCCTCCTTAATGATGTTCTTGAAGGTTATTCAGTTCTTCAAGAGATTAAGGAATGTTGCTCTGAGGTACGATTCGGTATGTTGTTGTTGTTGTTGTTGTTTCAGATTTAGCTACTCAGAACGAAGTGTCCATGTAGCACGGGCTATGGTGAGCCCGTAAACGATTCGGTATAATACTCCTATTTTTATATTAGAATACGTCATACACGTCACCTTGGACGAGTCCAGGTCTTGGACATCTAGGGCACCTGACAGCTGAGTGGCCAGTGCTTCGGATTCGTAGTCCTGAGGTTCCGGGTTCGATCCCCGGTGGAGGCGGAGACAAATGGGCAAAAACTTTCTTTCACCCTGATGGACCTGTTACCTAGCAGTAAATAGGTATCTGGGAGTTAGACAGCTGCTACAGGCTGCTTCCTGAGGTGTGTGTAACAAAGGCCTGGTCGAGGACCGGGCCGTGGGGACGCTAAGCCCCGAAATCATCTCAAGATAACCTTATACGTGAAGGGAAAAAATATTCCGCAGATACTACTCGGAAAGACTCTGAAGTTAGTCTAGGACTTCTTAAAGCATTCAACAGTTCTCTTCTCTATTGAGTCTTCCCATTAATTTGATATCATCTGCATTCGCCGATATGTAGAACACACTCTGTGGCTCGGTCACTGACACAGCTTAGAAATAGGATGTGTTTATTTACAGAGATGTGCTTATGGGTTCGAGTGCCTTATTAAGCCCCTGCCATTCAACCATTAGTATTGTAACCTGACAATTTCGTTTCTGTGATTACAATTACATCTAGGTTTTCTTAGATATGTCCTTGTCTTTGTTAATTATATCATCAATGATTATGTTCATTAATTTATAAATAATATTTTGTTCCGTTAATTCTTATGCGCATTAACCTTTGACCTCCGTTTGACAGGTGAGGGGGGGTGTTACTCAGGTGATGAGGGGAGTGGGAGGAACAAGTATATTGCACGGTTCGGTGGTTGATAGGGATTGGAATGGAATTGGAATAAGGGGAGAAAGCTGCTAGTCAACAGGATAGAAATAAGATGCCTTAAGATGCATTTTACCAGGCTTAAGATGCAAGCATGGTAAATCGGGGACGGGAACGAATTGGTGAAGGGTGAGAGGGGGGGGGGAGATAATATGATTCTGTTTAGTGTTATATGGTGGTTTAAAGAGGTTTAGTATACTGGTGCTTTTAGGAAGGCTAGATTAGGGAAGGTTTAGTGTAGTATTGGATGTGGGTGAAATATTCAGGGGGAAAGGGGGATAGGGATGCTGTAAGAGATGAAACAAATCCACAAGGGCCGTGATGAGGGTTCGAACCTACGTCCGGGACGATCCCAGACGCGTCTTAGTCGACTGCGGCACGACATGGTTAAAATAATTACAACCTAGAGTGCTATCTGGAGTGAGGTGTAGGGCGGTGTAGGCTTCTCTTGTGCTTTTCTCTCTCTCTCTCTTCGTCACTATGTGATGGAGTGCGAAAAGATACGTGAATTTAGAGACAATTCTATAACCAATGTTCCAACGATGTGTAAATATTTCATTCAAATGATCTGCTACCAGAAATTTTAGCCAAATATCCTCAGTTTGCTAACTGTAGGTAGTAACTAAGTGATTGTAACCTATCCACCGCTGCCCACTGGATGGGGGGCGGTTTGCAGGACAAACATATAATTTGTGACACTTGCTCTCCACATATGTCAGTTGCTTAATTTAGAAACTGAACTTGTGGTCGATCTCTAACCCCATTGTTGATGTGAAGACTTATATTGAATTTTGTAGCTAGCTCATCAAGATTGTAACTTGCTTAGCTAAATGAATTGTGGGGTTCAGTCCCTTGTGCTTCTGGGTTCCCCATGGTATTGAGTTTAGGGATATGTGGTTTCCCACTCACCTCTCTGTCCTCCTCTTCCTTGTCTCTGCCCTTCTCTTCCTGTTCCTCTGAAGAAATACTTCTCTGTATTTATTTCTTATACATTTCATACATATTTCACTTCTTTATTGGGGTGGAATCTTTGGCTATCCTCGTTCGTGGACACTATTTTTATCAGTTGATTTATAACTTTCCTGTACATGTCTAACAACGACAACAATATTGTCTGAATAACAACAGCGATATTGACAACGTTAGCAGTCAAAAGAATATTTAGCAGGAACCTCATCAAAAAAAACTTACATGGCGTAATACACTCTATGGGTCAGGATATTATCTAAGTTAGCATAACTGGTCTGGAACCCCAGATCAATCCAGCAATTCAGTTCAAGAAAGTCTAGAAAGCTACCACCAGTTTAATTCCCTCTACTAATGGATTAGAATAGGAAAAGCTGGAAGAGTCAATCCAACCCTGAAAAAAAATAAAAATGAGAGGACTTGATCGCAACATACAAATTACGCAAGGATATAACTGAAGAAGAGGATCAAGAAAGGATATTTAATAGGGTTCATGTCCCTTTGGGTCTGTACAAAGATTTTTTGATCATTATTTTCTACCACAGACGTGGCCACACATTTACAATGCTAACCAGAATAAATACAGTGATCATCCGAATGCTACAAAAATTTACAAGAACCTATTTCTTCAGAATGATGATAGTGAGCGAAAAGTTCTAGGAATGCCAGAGCAGTATCACACACACACACACACACACACACACACACACACACACACACACACACACACACACACACACACACACACACACTACAATAATAGCAGTCGTATACACAAAGACTCGCATAGAGTGCATTATACGGTGCGGTGGTTATACATGCAGATACTTGGAAGTTTTAAACATTGGTGTATGTATATGTTTGTGTATACAGTCCAGACACACAGCACAGGCGTCCTTCCTCGACCTCAGCCTTCTGTGTTGCCAGTTACAATTCATATCTTTAGCCTTAACACTATTGTCCTGTCTGCTCTGTGGTACGATTGAAGTGTGTGTGTGTGTGTGTGTGTGTGTGTGTGTGTGTGTGTGTGTGTGTGTGTGTGTGTGTGTGTGTGTGTGTGTGTGTGTGTGTGTGTGTGTGTGTGTGTGTGTGTGTGTGTGCTCAGGCACTCCAGAACAGTGTGCCACACTACCTCGTACACACCAGGTGTGTCATCTCATGGAAGCGTCTCCAGCTTTCACGTTACTCTTCAACCAACACACGTGGAGACCAGATGTCCTTTTTGACATTGTGGCTCTCCATATATGTGTAGTAGGGGGGGGGGTTGTAGAGAGGGGAGGAACCCATAGAAGAGGGAAGTGTGATGATGAATAGATGGTGAATAAAGATTCGAGATGAAGCAAAGAATAGGAGTAAAGTGTGTGTACTTAATTACTACTTATAAGTGTGTGTACTACTGTGTGTTAAGTGTGTACTACTTAATATGATCAATAATTGGCTTATAAGGACAGTAGGGAAAGTATGAAAAGGTTTTTGAAGAGAGTGAAGGTGAGGGCGAAGGGAGAATAGAATGAGAAGTGGGAAAGGCTGATAGTGAAGAAGGTGAGGAACACTAGGAGGTGAGAGAGAAAAAGAATGACGTTAGATGATGGGATGGAGATAAGTGAGGGTAAGGAGGGGGGGGAGACATGGAGGGAGGTGAGGAAGGAGAGTGGGGGGGTGTGTGTGAGAGAGAGAGAGAGAGAGAGAGGTGAGAGAGGACGTGAAGCGACCACTGGTGACCAGTAGCAAGTGAGAAGCTTACCCAGCCACACTTTTCCACCTGTTCTCTCGTGAATCTGACTGCTGAATCTCTATCAGCAGCTTCGTTGCCCTGAGATCGACCCCATCAAGTGCCCTCCTGACGTCTAGGATAAAAGTTCCTCCTTGCAAAACTTCCTCCTGCCAGAAGCCAGCTCAGGAGAGCGTCGACTCCCAGAAGGTTAGTTTGTCAGCGGAAGATTTTAAAAGTGAAATGGCTCGGCGCAGGATGGTTTAGACTAGTTATCCCTACGACAGGAGGAATGCTTCATTGGTATTCAACAGAGAGAAGCAGGAGGAATTGACCGTCAAAGTCCCAGGAAACGGTCCCCATGTAGTGTATAGTAAGGAACTATATATGTTGTTTCTTATATATATATATATATATATATATATATATATATATATATATATATATATATATATATATATATATATATATATATATATATATATATATATATTTATGTATATGTCGTTGAATTGTATAGTTGAAGTTATAGGATAGTTTTATTTTTTCAAAGTGCCCCATTTTGTTTTCCTTCAATGGAGTGAATTTTCATGCATATAATAAGCCAGGATCCATGTTTTATTTAAGCTTGCGTCTCTGAGTTCTTCTTAATAAGCTTCTGTCCCAGGAGAAGTATCAGAATGTTTAGCTTCTGTCCGAAGATGCATGTTCTGTTAAGCTTGTGTCCCATGATTCATGTTCTGCTAAGCTTGTGTCCCAGGATTAATCTCAAGAATTTGTCCCAGGATTCTTCTTATGCTTCTGTCCCAAGATGCATGTTCTGTTAAGCTTGTGTCCCAGGATTCATGTTCTGTTAAGCTTGTGTCCCAGGATTCATGTTCTGTTAAGCTTGTGTCCCATGATTCATGTTCTGTTAAGCTTGTGTCCCATGATTCATGTTCTGCTAAGCTTGTGTCCCATGATTCATGTTCTGTTAAGCTTGCCATGCTGAGAAGCGTGCTGACAAAGTTAATCATGCTGAGAAGCGAGCATGAAGAGACTGCCATGCCGAAAAGCTGCAGGAGGATATCAGGCCGAGATAGCAGAGATAACACATTGAGGAAAAACTTCTGTGAAAATATTTGCTATTTCCTTCCAAGTCAATAATAATTGTATCAATATCAGCCAATTATTTTTGATTTAATAGACCCATTTTAATTCATTTAATCTGCCAGCCAGCTTGTAATATCCGGCAGATCAATGGTGATTGTAGGCAGTACAGTATAGTGATATGAGATCTGCTAATTGCAATGCTGCAATGGGTCGGTTATACAGTATTTGATATAACAGTAGCAATGTCTCTTGATGGTATAATATGGTTCGTTTCAGTGAATATGTGTTAGGGTGAAATGTAAAGATGTTAACACCAATTTTTACAGGTTGTTGACAGTTTAATTAGAATGTTCGAAGAGTCATGATTGTTAGACCTCTGTGATGATAACAGTGATGATCCCGATCGTTAGTGTGATAACAGCATCTATGTATTGTCAGTATTCATCAGTGTGGTGTCAGTAATCATCAATGTGGTGTGAGCATTCGTCAGTGACGTGTCAGTAATCATCAATGTGATGTAAGTATTCGTCAGTGACGTGTCAGTAATCATCAATGTGGTTTCAATATTCGATACTAGACTTCATCCAGTACCATTCTTGAGGTTATATTGAGATGATTTCGGGGCTTTTAGTGTCCCCGCGGCCCGGTCCTTGACCATGCCTCCACCCCCAGGAAGCAGCCCGTGACAGCTGACTAACACCCAGGTACCTATTTTACTGCTAGGTAACAGGGGCATAGGGTGAAAGAAACTCTGCCCATTGTTTCTCGCCGGCGTCTAGGATCGAACCCAGGACCACAGGATCACAAGTCCAGCGTGCTGTCCGCTCGGCCGACCGGCTCCCTGATACCAAAGTTGCAAATATCAATCAACTTGATTTGTAAATATCTTTGCGTCGCAGGAGCGTCTAAATATGCTTCCTGGTTGGGCTAAGAGCCATATTTGTCTGCTTGACGGGGTTGACCGTCTACAAAGAGACAGCATCAGTCAGGGGTGTTGACACCGAACGTTGCTATGGCAACTATAACCTCCTGTTTGGAAGCGCTGAACGCAGCCAAGTTTTAATTTGTTTTATTCATTTATTTATATATACAAGAGTTCTTACATTCTTGTCCAGGCACTAACGCGCGTATACCCGCCAAACACACACCGAAACTACGACGTTGGTACAACGTTCGAACAAGTTTTAACACCTCCTAACCAGTTATAACAACCAATATAGCAAGTTGTAACAACGTTCTAATACGTCATAAACACGTTAAGCCAAGATGTAACAACTTTGTTACAAGTTGTAACAAGCGGAAAATAGAGACAGTTACGGTTTGGGTTTCCAGGGATAGCATTTCGGGCAATTCATTATACTTGGTTAGTTAAGCTAACAGTTAACAGAGACAGTTAAGTAAGTCCCAGCTGTGTCTGGGTACAGGTGACAGGATGTTTTCAACCCAGCGGGTTTTCTTCCTATTGGGGAGTGTTGTACATGCTGCTATGGAGGTATGTACTCCACTTACAGGATGAGTGGCGCTGCCCAATAAACTCGCCCCTCTGGGCAAAATTGAATTTTTTAATAAATACGTCATTATGCAGTTTCCAATACACGTTAACTTTACTCATTGTCAGAATATACTGATGCCATCCTAATGCACAGATATAATTACATAATACGGTAAATTATATTTTGCTAATTTGATTTTCGAAGTTTCGAAAACATAATTGCTGACCTTGAGTTGATCAGTCGTGGGAAATACTCGCTGATTTCAGCTGATCAGCAGGTTCACGTAGGGCTCTACCTTTCTCAATCATATATTACTTTTTTATTTGAGATATATACAAGAGTTGTTACATTCTTGAACAGCCACTAGTACGCGTAGCGTTTCGGGCAGGTCCCTGGAATACGATCCCCGCCGCGAAGAATTGATTTTACAACCAAGTACACATTTTACTGTTGAGTTAAACAGAGGCTACAGTTAAGGATTTGCGCCCAGTAAATCCTCCCCGGCCAGGATACGAACCCATGACAAAGCGCTCGCGGAACGCCAGGTGAGTGTCTTACCACTACACCACGGAGACTAACATTTTCTCCTTCACTCCTTCGAAGGACTAACATTGCTGAATGGTTCACTTCTAGCCTTATAAACTAAGGTTGAAAGGAACTTTAAAATTCATGCAATGTTGTTGGTTCTTCAGTTTTTTTTAACGTACGGTTAAAAAACGTTCAGTTTGTACGTTTGAGGGGTATTTGTACATACTTATTTATTTATTTATTTATTTATTTATTTATTTATTTATATACAAGAAGGTACATTGGGTTTGTGAGAATACATAGCATAGTATTTACAATCTTGTAAAGCCACTAGTACGAGCAGCGTTTCGGGCAGAAACGCTGCCCGCATATGCTGCCCAGAAAAGCATATACAAATACAAATACAAATAAATACAAATATTTATTCAGGTAAAGTACATACATACAAGGCAAGATACAAAAGTTGATGGATTTATAGATAGAGCTAGTACATACAATGCCTAAAGCCACTATTACGCAAAGCGTTTCAGGCAGGAAAAACACTAAGACTAAAACTTAATACTAATTGAGATTAAAGTATAAATTGTGTTGAGATACGTTTGACGTCCAAACCGTCACTGAAGGTGGACTCCATAAACAATTTCAATTGTAGATATGATAGAGCCCAATAGGCTTAGGAAGCTGTTCACAAGTTGATTGACAGTTGAGAGTCGGGACCAAAGAGCCTAAGCTCAACCCTCCGCAAGCTTAACCAGATGAGTACATTACCGTTACCAACGCATCATTACTCGTCAACGATTAATGGTCCGGGGGTCACGGTACTATGTACGTTTGTGGGTGATCCTGGACATCATGGGTTCGAATCCTTGTCGGGTCATTTAGAGTTCTTAGTGATGTATGGTCAGCGTATGAACAAATCCACAAGGGCCGTGACGTGGATTCGAACCTGCGTCCGTGAGCCTCCCAGCGTGTTCCTGCAGCCTTTCTAACATATATCAGAGTCTCACGGTAGTACAATCAGGCTCGTTCTCGACCCTCCATCGAGGATTCGGGGTTCGAATCCCGGGCGGGACAGAAATGGTTGGGTACATTTCCTTTCACCTAATGACTCTGTCCACCTAGTAATAAGTAGGTACCCAGGAGTTAGTCTGCAGCTTGCTGTGGTGCTGCGTCCTGGGCGGGGTTAGTAATCCGACATTGGACCTCGATATAAGCCTAACATGTATGAATACACTCTGGCTTCCTGTCCCCCGACACAATGAATTGTTATCTATATATATACTTTAGGTCGCGAGGTTCCGCCTAGGTCGAAATGCTGCATCTTCCTGTAGATACAACCCCACAACACTTGGATAACTCACGGATACCTATTTACTGATGTTAAACAGGTGCACCAGGTGAAAGGAAACTAAAAAGTTCATGTATCTGGCCATCATACCGGGAAATTAAACCTTCAAGGAGGAGGCGAAAGTAGCTTGTTCATTTATTTAAGTTACCCATTAAAAATAACATTTTCTTTCGTCAACAAACTTTATAGAAAATGAATAAATCTCGATATTAGATGGTACACTAAAATAAATATAGCAATACAGCTAGGATGATATTGGGCATATTAGTATTTGAGAAAGTTGCACTAAAATGTGAGGCAGTATTTTCACTTACTTTGCCAATATAAAATTGAAAAGGAATTACAACCCTTTTCTCAACAAGGCATTACCACAGAAAGGCTACTCTATAGGCTAACACAATTTCAAAAGAAGTTATGATGAGAAGTAAGTTTATCGATAGACATTTCGATACACGACCAGCATTCCAGGTTTGCCCTTCAATCAAAACGCGTTAAATAATCTAGCAGTTTCATTTCATTAGCAAACAATATATATCTTGCTTGTATCCGAATTTCTCAATTATAGGAAAAAAGAGACGGTTAGTTTATGCTAAAGTAGCAAATATATATATATTTTTTTTTTTTTTTTTTTTTTTTTTTGAGATATATACAAGAGTTGTTACATTCTTGTAGAGCCACTAGTACGCGTAGCGTTTCGGGCAAGTCCTTAATCCTATGGTCCCTGGAATACGATCCCCTGCCGCGAAGAATCGTTTTTTCATCCAAGTACACATTTTACTGTTGCGTTAAACAGAGGCTACAGTTAAGGAATTGCGCCCAGTGAATCCTCCCCGGCCAGGATACGAACCCATGACATAGCGCTCGCGGAACGCCAGGCGAGTGTCTTACCACTACACCACGGAGACTGTGATGATATTGATGTGTCCTAACCAGCTAGGCTAAATGGCCAACACACACACACACACACACACACACACACACACACACACACACACACACACACACACACACACACACACACACACACACACACACACACAGGATAACAGAGTGAAGAATGCAGGTTCGAATTTCTCTACCCGCGAAGAAAGTAGGTCAGTGCCGGAAGTCTAATACACCTGACCCACACTGTACAGTGTACATTGGTAGGTGAGTACAGTGTGTATGAGTTTACGGGCTCACCATAGCCCGTGCTACATGGACACTTCGTTCTGGAAAGTAGCGAAATCTAAAACAACAACAGTATGTATGTACTGAGAATTCCACCAAGGTGGTCAGAGCAAAATGGGTACTAGTCGTAAACAAACCCCCAGTTTTTCATTAAATCAGAACAAAAACAGGGGAATTGACCGCTGGATTAACGGGCATTGGACCTCTGTTGATGAGGTGGGACTGTTACTAACCACTCACAACGGATGCCGTTGGAACATTTCTCGAACAGAGACTCAGTAACCACCTTTGTTCGCAGGCTATGAGTCACAATAACGTGGCTAAAGTATGTTGACCAGACCACACACACTAGAAGGAGGTGAAGGGACGACGACGTTTCCGTCCGTCCTAGACCATTCTCAAGTCGATTGATCTTGAGAATGGTCCAGGACGGATCGAAACGTCGTCGTCCCTTCACCTCCTTCTAGTGTGGGGTCTGGTCAACACCTCTCTTCGTTTCGCAACTCTGTAAATGCTTCACATATTCGATCTTATACCATTCTGATTATTAAAATGTAATTATATTTGCACAATCTTATCCGAAATTATATTCTATGATCCTTTTATTCTTCCTAACAGGAGAATGAGGCAAGTTTCATCTCTGAGTTTCAGCTCCCGGATGCTGGCTCATTCTTGCAGACGAGCAGGAAGGAGAAGCTGCTACGGCCACGCCCTTACACTCCCATGTAATAAGGCTGAAGATCACAGGAGCATGATGGAGTTCAGTCACGTATCAGGCGAGAATTTCCCAAAGAACACGACCACTACCGACAGGGAAATCTTAAAGTCCCTCAGGCCAAGCCATGCTCAGCTTATCGATCCTGTGATCATAGGAAGCCAAGACAGGTCCGAGCCTCGACCCTTCGCCTCCATTCCCGGACCCAAACCTCTTCCTGTGATTGGCAATACATTCCTCTTCACTTCTATCGGTGAGTCCTGTTTTTCTATGCTAACATTACTGACGTAAATAATCATTATTAGGGTTTGGTTTTTGCATTTTTAAATTTAGTCGTTTGCTTTGCAGCATCAACCATTATGTATATATGTTATGTTTTGTATTCTAAACAATGTCATTGTGCAGTTTAAACCTGTTCAAGTGAAGCACATAAATCGCCACCGGTTTCGGTTGGGTTCGAGTCTTGGGTAGAGTCGATTGAACCCCGACCCATTACCTATTTCCCCTCTTCTCCCCGTAGTAATTGGGACCTGTTTGTAAGACGATTGGTGGCTCATTTATATATTTTTATATATATTTATCATTTAAACAGCAAATCATGTCATGAAGAGAATGTATTAGACGTTCTTATATCTGTTTCGTATCAGCATTAAATTTTGTTTTCTATTTTCTTCTCTCTGGATATATACGGATACATACGCAGACGACATCTAATTTTGTTTGTAGTCTGAGAGTTCTCCCTCCCACAGCTCAGTGTTTATAAACAAGGAGCTCTTCGTCCCACAGCTCAGTAACTATAAACAGGGAGCTCTTCCTCCCACAGCTCAGTATCTATAAACAGGGAGCTCTTCCTCCCACAGCTCAGTATCTATAAACAGGGAGCTCTTCCTCCCACAGCTCAGTATCTATAAACAGGGAGCTCTTCCTCCCACAGCTCAGTGTCTATAAACAAGGAGCTCTTCCTCCCACAGCTCAGTGTCTATAAACAGGGAGCTCTTCCTCCCACAGCTCAGTATCTATAAACAAGCAGCTCTTCCTCCCACAGTTCAACTTCAGTCTTTACCATTCTCTTCATCAGAATAATTTCACTGACAGTAGAATAATTCTTAACACTACCAGGCAGTCATATCCTTGGTGTTCCAGCTCTCATCCTAGTCCACAATGTTATATCTAAATTTCTTGCTATACACAGGTAGAGGAAGGTAAATATCCCATTCTCATTTGTTCTGGTAATTGGTCTTGGCTACAAAAGTTGGAATATATTTTCCTATGGAAGAAATCTTCCCAAAACTTTAAGAAAGAATCATAGCAGAATCAAATTAAAACGGATGGGTGTAAACATTTTTTATAATTCAAGACAGAATGCAAATCAAGGAGAGGAAAGAGTTAAAACAGGAAACTTATTATATATAACATATTTTTTGGGGAATAGGTTTTTGTCAAGGACTGACCTGAATGGCGTCGAACTTCCCTATTACAGTAGCAATTCCTGGTTGCATCTATCGAGATGCAGAGACGATTGGTGACGATTGGTGGTGGACGATTGCTAGTCCTGCTCACAGGACTGCCATTATTCGTCCTGTGAGCACCATGACCGCTGGTGATGAAGCGACTTAGCGTCTGTGATTGGTGTGGAATGAACCAACATAGAATGGGAGAAGCAACGATTGATCCTTCGTAATTTCGGTTGTTGAAAGCAGTGAACTGGACTGCTTTTCTGTCATGGGAACGAGGTCAGGTTGCCTTACATTGCGGGGTTACCTTGTTTTGGTTCCATGGATTAATGTCCCCGCGGCCCGGTCACTGAACAGGCCTACGGGTTGAAGTTCACGAGAATCTTCAATTTCCTGTCGCTATGCAAGGGTTAAGTTTCCTAAGTTTCCCAAATTTCACAAATTTCCAAGTTTCCCAATTTCCCAAGGGCTTAAGAAACTGACCAATTGGAAACATACATTTGGAAACGTACTGCATATATAAATAATTGACAGAATAAACAGAACACCTAAAGTATCCTACGGTAAACTATATCGAAATTAAATGATACAATATTATGACGTAGAATGAATATCAGAGATTCAGGAGATACTGACGATAAGTATAGTGGAATTGAAATCGAGAGAGATATATTTATAGCATAATGTATATTTTTTATATAAATAAAAGTTGTATTATTTTAATACATATTTTCACTGATTCAAATGTTATATTTCACCTTTAATCAACTGTCAACACATCATTACGGTTCATAAGAGTTGTTGACAGTTGATATATATAATTTATAATACATACTTTTCTTATAATAGGTTTATTTCAAAGCAATCACTATTCTTACATTTCTCAATCCTAAAATGTAATTTCACTACACACAGATATCACAATAGCGTATTGCAACAAATGAACATTGTGTAATTGTGCAAGAAACCCCAGTCTGATCTTTGGAGAAGCTACGGGAGCCCTGTAAGGGCTTTAACACGCCAGGTTGCAATTCTTTTAACCCATGTCGTGGCGCAGTCGACTAAATCGCGTCTGGGATCATCCCGGATGAAAATTCGAACTCCCTCACCTCGGTCCTTATGGATTTGTTTATTATTTCCCTGTTTTCTCCGAGGGTCCATAACCTGTTATTAATCTTTGTCGACCCGTAACTTCAGGAGGGTACCCGCTGGAGAGGTTCTGGGAGTCCTCGAGGAAGCTGTTTGAGGAATACGGTCCCGTTGTCCGGATCGCCAAGCTTGCTGGGGACGTGGATATGGTGATGGTGTTCCAGCCAGAGGACACCAGAAGAATATTTAAGGTAATATTGGTGGTGGTCGAAGGTGCTGATGGTGGAGGTGTCTGGTGAGAGGCGCTTGTGGAAGGAGAAATTTAGGTCGTGAGGCAGTGCTTTAGTCAACCGTTGGTTAGAAAAGTCGGGGTCCAGGAGCTAACAGCTCGATCCTGAAGGCACAAATATAAAATACAAATAATAAATTCACTCACACACACACACACACACACACACACACACACACACACACACACACACACACACACACACACACACACACACACACACACACACACATGTCGTAGGAGTAAGGGGTGACATGATCACCACCTTCAAAATTCTCATGGGAATTGATTGGGTGGACAAAGACAAACTATTTAGTAAGGGTGGAACATGAACAAGGGAATACAGCTGGAAACTTAGTACCCAAATGAACCACAAAGATATTAGAAAGATTGTTTTCAGTGTCAGAAAAGTGTGTGTGTGTGTGTGTATGTGTGTGTGTGTGTACTCACCTAGTTGTGCTTGCGGGGGTTGAGCTCTGGCTCTTTGGTACCGCCTCTCAACCGTCAATCAACAGGTGTACAGATTCCTGAGCCTATCGGGCTCAATCATCTCTACACTTGAAACTGTGTATGGAGTCAGCCTCCACCACATCACTTCCTAATGCATTCCATATGTCAACCACTCGGACACTAAAAAAGTTCTTTCTAATATCTCTGTGGCTCATTTGGGCGCTCAGTTTCCTCCTGTGTCCCCTTGTGCGTGTGCCCCTTGTGTTAAATAGCCTGTCTTTATCTACCGTATCAATTCCCTTGAGAATCTTGAATGTGGTGATCATGTCCCCCCTAACTCTTCTGTCTTCCAGCGAAGTGAGGTTTAATTCCCGTAGTCTCTCCTCGTAGCTCATACCTCTCAGCTCGGGTACTAGTCTGGTGGCAAATCTTTGAACCTTTTCCAGTTTAGTTTTATCCTTGACTAGATATGGACTCCATGCTGGGGCTGCATACTCCAGGATTGGCCTGACATATGTGGTATACAAAGTTCTGAATGATTCTTTACACAAATTTCTGAATGCCGTTCGTATGTTGGCCAGCCTGGCATATGCCGCTGATGTTATCCTCTTGATATGTGCTGCAGGAGACAGGTCTGGCGTGATATCAACTCCCAAGTCTTTTTCTTTCTCTGACTCCTGAAGAATTTCCTCTCCCAGATAATACCTTGTATTTGGCCTCCTGCTCCCTGCACCTGTCTTCATTATATTACATTTGGTTGGGTTAAACTCTAACAACCACTTGTTCGACCATTCCTGCAGTTTGTCTAGGTCTTCTTGAAGCCTCAAACAGTCCTCTTCTGTCTTAATCCTTCTCATAATTTTGGCATCGTCCGCAAACATTGAGAGAAATGAATCTATACCCTCCGGGAGATCATTTACATATATCAGAAACAAGATAGGACCGAGTACAGAACCCTGTGGGACTCCACTGGTGACTTCACGCCAATCGGAGGTCTCACCCCTCACCGTAACTCTCTGCTCCCTCTTGCTTAGGTAGGTATTGCTTAGGTACCTATTGTGTGTGTGTGTGTGTGTGTGTGTGTGTGTGTGTGTGTGTGTGTGTGTGTGTGTGTGTGTGTGTGTGTGTGTGTGTGTGTGTAAACATTTAGAAGACATGATAGAGAAAAAGTTGAGAGTCGGTGTATTAAACAACTAATGGTCATAAAGACGGGATCCAAGAGTTAACAGCTCCATGCTGCAGGCACAAATAGGGGAATACGCCTCCAATACACACACACACACACGTGTTATAAAAATAAGATTCAGAGAATCTCAGAATTCAGTAGAAATCAACGAATCGGAACATCGCGTTTGAAGTTAAATATTCACGTCTGAAAATTCAGGGATTCGGTCTTCCATTTCAATATATAAAATCATGTTCTTATGTTTAGTTAAAGTTATGAGTATTGACGTGCCATGATTTGGTCAGTCTGTACCACATACGAATGTGTGTCTCGTATGTTAGTTTAAAATTGACGTGGCTTAACGTGTTATGATTCGGTCATTCAGTTTAATTATGCACATTTGTGTCTCGGTGCCTAAGTTAGGATTCAGTGAGGCTGGGTACAGAAAATTGAAGCAGTAGAACTTCACTCTCTGTAACACAGATAATTGAAAGAAAAGTGGTCTTCCTGAAGTTAATGCAGAAATTATATATGTGTAATATTTTAAAAATATTATGTAGTTATTGTATTTATGCTTGCTAATTATTTTATATTCCTATATTCTCATTACTTTATTTTTCACTGCCGTTGATAATATTCCTTTTATCACCCACGTTACAGGAGTAGTGACAAATATATAATCTTCATATCTTAAATATGAAGATTAATATCACAAATATCTTAATCTTCACATACAAATATTCAGGTATGTGAAGATTAAGAGGCTCATCTTCATATTTTACCAGCTCGTTCATCCTCCATAAAATAAGTGTGAAGGGAAGGTAATCTTACTTGTTGCAGGCTGAGGGCCAGTACCCAGTTCGTCCTGGACTGGACATCCTCAAACACTACCGCTCTAGACGGCCCCAGTGGTTCACCTCACCTGGCCTGGTCCCGGGGTAAGTGTCGAGTGGAACCCCAATCACCAGTTGATTGGTAGTTGAGAGGCGGGACCAAAGAGCTAGAGCTCAACCCCTACAAGCTTGGTGAGCACATGTCTCCTGCAGTTTTCGTATTTCCTAGGGGCCAGATTCACGAAACCACTTACGCAAGCACTTACGAACCTTGTACATCTTTTCTCAATCTTTGGCTGCTTTGTTTCCAATTATTAAACAGGTAATGAGCTCCGAAGCACCAGGAGGCTCTTTAGAACAATAACAACAGTTTATTGGGAAGTTTTCATGCTTGTAAACTGTTTAATAAATGTAAGCAAAGCCGTCAAAGATTGAGGAAAGATGTACACGTTCGTAAGAGCTTGCGTAAGTGCTTTCGTGAATCTAGCCCTAAGTTCTTATGATGGCTGGGGCAGTGGACCAGGATATTCTGGATATTCCCGATTTTCCAACCGGTTGAATGCAACTGCATATTGGTTTATAAAAGTGGGTTGAAATCGTTTGACGTGTAGTGCTTCGCTAATGATTTATTGTAGTTATTTTGTGTTGTATTTTTTATTGTAGTTATAGTTTACACCAATTTATATAATATATAATTTATTATATATAAATTATATAAATTTATATATAAATTAAATACAATTTATATAAATATAGTTTATAACAATTGTAGTTATATGTTTCGATTACTTCCGTGTTGTGGGTCAGAATATCTTTGTTGATGTTCTGGTGGTGTGCAGAAATTATAAGTTTTTTGATGGAGCCTTGTTGTTTGTGCATTGTTAGGAGATTTGAGAGAGATGTTGTAGTCTTACAAATCCACAATGGCCGTGACGAGGATTCGAACCTGCGTCCGAGAGCATCCCAGCCGCTGCCTTAATCGACTGAGTTACGACATGGTCAAAGTGAGTTGAAATCGAAGTTCTACTGAAATTACTGGATCTTGCAGCCTCTCCGAGGCACAAAGCAGGGTTTTACACAACTCCCCCCATGCACTCGCGCTATGTAAAAGACCGTTCTCCCTCTTCCTCGGAGAGGCTGCAGGATCCAGTAAGTTCAGTAGAACTTCGGTTTCAACTCCTTTTGACCATGTCGTGGGTTGTGGGTTCGATTCCCGCACGAGGCAGAAACAAATGGGCAAAGTTTCTTTCACCCTGAATGCCCCTGTTACCTAGCAGTAAATAGGTACCTGGGAGTTAGTCAGCTGTCACGGGCTGCTTCCTGGGGGTGGAGGCCTGGTCGAGGACCGGGCCGCGGGGACACTAAAAGCTCCGAAATCATCTCAAGATAACCTCAAGAAGATGTCGTGGCTCAGTCGATTAAGGCAGCGTCTGGGATGCTCTCGGACGCAGGTTCGAATCCTCGTCCCGACCCTTGTGGATTTGTTCACTTGATGCATCACGCAATTGTGATTTCTGTGTGTAATGTTGTAATCTTGCCTATATATTGAAATTCTTTAGGGTTGACAGTCTCTAAGTGGGAGTGTTTGAGTATCCTTGCTAATAAACTGCATTAGAGAAACTAACATTTAATCAACATTTAAAAAATAATATTCTAGATAAATTTTAGTACAGGAGGATTGTGGTATTTAGCGAAATTGGAAAATAGTGTTATTTGTAAATCCTTGCAAGGGTGGGAGTAGCATGAGGCTCGACCATGACCTGCCTTTGACCATCCTCGACAAAGACCTGTCAAAGACGACTCACCATCCCTGCTAAAATGGTGAGACTAATCGAAAGCGTTTGGATTAGCTTCACCATTCGTCTAACACGAATCTTTTCAATATTTCTTACGTTTTTCTTCACCTTCCGGGGTAATTGAAATATTAACTATCCAAAGTTCATTTTCTCATTTTTTTATTATGGTCTGACGCCTAAAAGCGTTTCACAAGGGCTTTTTACATTTTCAAAGACAGGTTTACACATATATATCATGCATATATTCGTTTTGGGTGAAGTGATATGACACAAATGTTTTTGGGTGAGGTGACAGAACACGAGTCAATGGGTATAAATTGGATATGAAAACATAAGAATGAAAGTAACTACAGAAGGCCTATTGGCCCACATTTTCTCTTGCTGTTTCTATGTTGGTTCGTGGTCTTGAAGTGGGTAGAATTCTACCCACTTCATTTTACCTAATACCCACAATTCTACTTAATATTAGGTATATTTTTCAATAATAAAATTTTTATTATTTATAATTAAACTTAAAAAAGTTCTTATTTATAATTTCAAATTTTTCAAAATTCCAATTTCAAATTTTTCGTAATTAAAATTTCGATATATTCACTAATTACAAAAACTTCCACAGAGTATTATTATTAGCAATTGATGCGGGAATAATGACTCAGATTTTTAATAGACAGTAATTTAATGGACACATAACAGAAAAAATATATGATAAAAGAGTATCTATATATTATTACCATGGAAAAAGAAAAACTAAATATTTGGATAAATCGCAATTGACTGAAACCATTACAGACAGAGAGCGTGCAAGGAACTCTATGTACTCTATGTACTCTATGTACTCTATGTACTCTATGTACTCTATGTACTCTGTGCAAACTGTAGAGGCTTGAACGAAATTTGATATAAAACAATTTGATATAAAAACAAACTTGATTTCAGAACGAAAAATACTCTTTGATCGGACAAAAATGCCTTTAGAAGGCATGCAATTTCAAAGGCTGGATTTTTATACAATAATCCTTGGTACGAAAATAATATTGGGTCCGATATTCTTTTGTTGGAATATCCTTTCATTTATCTCTTTCATGTCTCACCTTCGTACGTGCTCTAGTGTCATCTCCTCGCACTCTTACTCGATACCGTAAGAGTACCATCTTCGCTCTGTCCTTCTGTTGAATCTACACCATCTCAAGCCACCTCTCTTCCCCCTCCTAGCCATGTAATTACCCTATCCTTTCCCCTATTCTCCCTCCTAACCATACATGTATCATATCCTATCCCTTAATTTCTCTACTTAGAATACATATATTCTAATCTCCCCTATTCGCGTGTAAAGGCATAGACGGCATTTGTCTTCTACATGGCTCTTTACTTGGTGTAGTAAGACTTCCTCACGAGCATCTTTGCAGTTGTCTGAAAGAAGAATGTAAACTCTATATTTTGGTTAGTGTCTGGAAGGGGGTCACGTTCCTAAAAGTAATTTCCTTGGGGTCATTCTTCCCTCTTGTGGGCTGTTGGGAAGGAGAGGCTAATAAGTAGAATGAAATAAAGAATCCTGAAAGAATTCATTGACGGAAACTTTGTCCCTTCTGACACAGACCAGAATATATTTAGTTCATCCTTTATTACAAGAAGATGTTGGCTATTTCTTACACGGTAAAAGGCCATCATGTTTTAATCAGGATTGGTTTTCAGGGGTTTTACCTGTAAATATTCAACCCATTAGAGAGGCCTGACAGCTGAATGGACAGCGCTTCTGATTCGTAGTCCTGTCGTTCCGGGTTTGATCCCCGGTTGAGGCGGAAATAAAGGGGCAGGGTTTCGTTCACCCTGATGCTTTGTTCACCCCAGCAGTAAATAGGTGTTTGCGAGTTAGACAGTTGCTACGGGCTGCTTCCTGGGGATGTGTAACAAAAAGGAGGCCAGATCGAGGACCGGGCCGCGGGGACCCTAAGCCCCGAAATCATCTCAAGATAACCTCAAGATAGACAGTTATTCTACCTGCTTCTGAATCTACTCACCATTGAACATTTTCTCATGTCAAAAGGTAACATTCTCATAAGATCATGAACCAGTGTCTCTGCTGCTCTTTCTTCGTTTCGTCCAAAAGCAGCAATGCTTTTCCCTCTAACCATTGTATACGACCAACAAGGACATGCCTAGGCAGGTGCACCATCCGAGCTTAAAGGGATTGTTTCAGCGATCAGTGGCAGTCGGATGAAAATGCTTAACCCCAGTAACGCTGACTATAATAAGCTTAGGCACAGTTTCAAACCAGAGAACCAAGTTCGGTTCCCACATGATCGATCTTGCAAGACCGCATGAGGTGACCGCTTCATCGCCAGCGTCCGCACAGGCAACAGCCCTGACTCTGTTTTGAACAAAATGATATGAATGATATAGAGCATTAAAGGTGAGCAGTAGACCTGGACGCCCACAGAGTCCTGAGTGACCATCAGGCAGTGGTCGGGAGGAATGGAGAGTGGCAAAAATATCATATGTGCATGTTTGTGATATCAATAGCAGTTGAAATGGGAGTATATCATACCAGGGGGAGAGAAGGGATGAGAAGACAATGAGATAGAGAGACTGGAATAGAATTATCAGGGGGAAAGCGTCAAGCCATTACGTATATATAACAATTGGATTGGTTCAGGATAAGGATTTGGGATGGGACGGGGGGAAGAAAATGGTGCCTAACTACTTGGATGGTATGGGATTGAACGCCGACCTGCATGAAGCGAGACCGTCGCTCTACCGTCTACCCCAAGTGACTGAGCCAGAGAAAGAGAGAGAGAGAGAGAGAGAGAGAGAGAGAGAGAGAGAGAGAGAGAGAGAGAGAGAGAGAGAGAGAGAGAGAGAGAGAGAGAGAGAGAGTGAGATAATGGTATGTACTATTATGTCTCTTTAGTACGAAATGTTACGTACATAATCTTACTTTTTTTATTAGGTGTACAGTTTGAATTCCTCTGTGAATCTTTATACTAGTTGATTGACCGTTGAGAGGCGGGACCAAAGAGTCAAAGCTCAACCTCCGCAAGTACAACTAGGTGAGAACAGAGAAACACACACACACACCTAACCAGTACCGACACACAGATTCTCACAAACACACACACACACACACACACACACACACACACACACACACACACACACACACACACACACACACACACACACGCCACAATATCCACCCTGACATTCACAATCCTCACAAGTCTCACATACTCACCTTCTTTTCTTCCGAGTTCGTACATGCTGACTGAACCTATTACACTGAGCTCTGGAATCTGGCATTTAGGATTTTCTTTAATATCTTTCCTGCAGGATAAACAATATTGGTTTATGGATATTCTTACGGAGATCTGCAAATGATAATTGCGATTCATGACAATAAAAATTGATAAGGAGAAAATAGGATTTTTTTTTTTTGGGGGGGGGGAGGATTTTAAAAAGAATAGCAAAGGGGGGAAAATGTAGAATTTTAAGTGGGGGAAAATGGAAAGGGACAAGACCCCCTTAAAGTTCGTTCAAATAGCATTTAATGTATAAGTGAGGATAATACAGAGGATCAGAGTTGAAGCCTTGAAGCATGATTGATACAGGCAAGAGTACTCTGGTCTCAAGTTCAACTAAACTCACACCTTATTGCTGCTCCATGGGTAGTTCAGAAGTTTTTATTTCTGGTTACTCATGCTTCTGTTTATATATATATATCGAAGAATTTATTGGTGTTTGAGATTCTCTTGTCTGACCTATGTGCTGCCCGAAATCTTAGCGAAGTATCCAAAATTTGCTTACTGAAGGTAATGCATGCATATGACTGTAAAGCTGCTGCCCAGTTGGGTGGGTGTGCAGCAAGACTGTGTGACTCACTATAGATGTAAAGTGTCTTGTATAGTGACTGTTGTGAGCCTCTTGTAATGTCACTTTTGACACCTCTTTGTGACACAAAGATTATTGATGTGTGTATTTGTGTGGGTGATTAGATATGTATGTGTATGTATTTATGTATACGTATATATATAAGTACATGTATGTATGAGAGTGTGTACATGTGTATACAACATTAATAATTTTGTAACTAGCGTCAAACATTGTTATTTGCTTAGCTAAATCAACTAAAGGGTTCAGTTCCTGAACCGATTATGTGCCTCTGTAATCCTTTACACCACCGCCCAAGGGATGGGTATGGGGTGCATAATAAAGAAAGAAATTGAATTGACCTCGTTAGAGGTGGATGGTGGTTTTGGGAGGAACCAACACTTCTGAGTTTGTGGGAGATTACTTGGCAATTCGATTTTCACCGATGGGTGAGTGGCAGCACTTTGCTGACATTCTGACTCCAGTGATAGTATGACTGTTTCCTGAAAAAAATGTTTTCCTCAAAGTGGAAACCTCTACTTTGTATTCTCTGCGAGGCTCTGTTGGCCTCTGGGTTGACTGTTTGGTATGATCGAGATATTATATATATATATATATATATATATATATATATATATATATATATATATATATATATATATATATATATATATATATATATATATATATATATATATGCGAACAAGCCTGAATGGTCCCCAGGACAATATGCAACTGAAAACTCACACCCCAGAAGTGACTCGAACCCATACTCCCAGAAGCAACGCAACTGGTATGTACAAGACGCCTTAATCCACTTGACCATCACGACCGGACATAATGAGGTGATAGCCGAGGCTATTTGAACCACCCCACCGCCGGCACTCGGATAGTAATCTTGGGCATAGCATTTTACCAAATCACCTCATTCTTTGGGGCACACGTGAGGAACGCAAATGCGAACAAGCCTGAATGGTCCCCAGGACAATATGCAACTGAAAACTCACACCCCAGAAGTGACTCGAACCCATACTCCCAGAAGCAACGCAACTGGTATGTACAAGACGCCTTAATCCACTTGACCATCACGACCGGACATAATGAGGTGATAGCCGAGGCTATTTGAACCACCCCACCGCCGGCACTCGGATAGTAATCTTGGGCATAGCATTTTACCAAATCACCTCATTCTTTGGGGCACACGTGAGGAACGCAAATGCGAACAAGCCTGAATGGTCCCCAGGACAATATGCAACTGAAAACTCACACCCCAGAAGTGACTCGAACCCATACTCCCAGAAGCAACGCAACTGGTATGTACAAGACGCCTTAATCCACTTGACCATCACGACCGGACATAATGAGGTGATAGCCGAGGCTATTTGAACCACCCCACCGCCGGCACTCGGATAGTAATCTTGGGCATAGCATTTTACCAAATCACCTCATTCTTTGGGGCACACGTGAGGAACGCAAATGCGAACAAGCCTGAATGGTCCCCAGGACAATATGCAACTGAAAACTCACACCCCAGAAGTGACTCGAACCCATACTCCCAGAAGCAACGCAACTGGTATGTACAAGACGCCTTAATCCACTTGACCATCACGACCGGACATAATGAGGTGATAGCCGAGGCTATTTGAACCACCCCACCGCCGGCACTCGGATAGTAATCTTGGGCATAGCATTTTACCAAATCACCTCATTCTTTGGGGCACACGTGAGGAACGCAAATGCGAACAAGCCTGAATGGTCCCCAGGACAATATGCAACTGAATATGCGCCTTACTATGGCGGTGGGGTGGTTCAAATCATTTTCATTTTCTAAGATCTTAGCAGAATATGTAGAGAAGCGTGGTCATCCCCACTTGTGCTGGATGGTAGGGCGATGGTCTCGCTTCATGCAGGTCGGTGTTCAATCCCTGACTGTCGAAGTGGTTGGGCACCATTCCTTCCCCTTCCCTCGTCTAATCCCAAATCCTTATCCTGATCCCTTCCAAGTGCTATATAGTCGTAATGGATTGTCGCTTTCCCTTTAATAAATTCTATTCTAATTGGTCATTCCTTATCAAATATGTTCAAGTATGTTCGAGATGCGTACAATGCGAGAATCTTAAAGAACCACGAATATAAAATCCAATTATTTTTTTTTAATGAGGAACAAATTTCTGCCATGAAAAGTTTAATATAAATTGTGGGAAGAATAATTGATTATTAAAGTGATAATCACAAATTACCTTCGTTGCCAATCATCCGGGAAAACACTGATTAAAAAAATCCCACCATGACTCTCTCAAAGAATCTTCAATGGAAATGTGCAAAGTTGTATGCACTTTCACATTAATATGTATTGACACACTTGGCCTGCTCCTCACTGCACAACTTGACACACTCGTGCCATGCTGCTCATATCACACCTTGACAGTCATATATCATGCACAAACAGCCAGATGGTGTAGATCTGGATTTACACCACCTGGCTTTACACCACCTGGATCTACAAGATCTGGCTCTTCTCTATCTAGTTCTTTGTCACCTGCACCACCTGGCTATACACTCACTTGGTACTGCACCACCTGGCTCTGACCCACTCGATTCTATGCCACCTGGCTCTTCACCACCTGGTACTGTATCATCCGGGTCTGTACCACCTGGTTGTTTAACGAAGAGGCGAGTTACACCTTTGTGGAGTCTCCGTTCCGTGGGGTTGTTGAGATATAACAACAATCCCCTCTCACATATGTAGTCCCTTTTCGTGTATGTGGTAACCTCTCACATATGTAGTCCCCTCTCACATATTTATAGTCCTCTCTCACATATTTATAGTCCCCTCTCACATATTTATAGTCCCCTCTCAAATACGTAGTCCTCTCTCTCACGTATGTAATCTCCTCTCACATACATTATCCTCTCACACATGTCTCGTTCCCTCTCACATATGTAGTCCCCTCTCACATATGTAGTTCCCCTTTAGACATATATAATCGAATCTCACGAATATAGTTCCCTCTCTCAGATTCAGAAGTCTCACTAATACAAAACACAATCTTAACATATATATTTCTTTAATGTGTAATAACTAAAACTATATATAATGCCTTTCTACGTATATTATTTATTCTTTTTGTACAAAATTTTTTGTCGCATGTATAATTTCTTTGAATTACTCCTTATTTCTTTAAGTCTGATTCAAGTCGGAAAAAATCTTTGCTCAATCAGCGTTGGTTTTCAGCCTCTGATGCAGCGTGTAATTCCTCTTCTACTGCTTCTTCAGGAACGGGCCGGAGTGGCGCCGTCTGCGAAGTGCCATCCACTCCCTCCTGCGGCCGGAGGTGGTGAGCAGGTACCGGGCGACGCAGAACGATGTGGCGAAGGACTTGGTCGGCCTCTTGAGAGAGCACACCTCGCTAGGAGGAGGAGGAGGACCTGGCGACGGACATCGTCAGCAGAGTCGCGTAGTTAAGGATCTTTTGCCACTGCTCTTCCGTTACACGCTAGAAGGTGAGAGAGAGAGAGAGAGAGAGAGAGAGAGAGAGAGAGAGAGAGAGAGAGAGAGAGAGAGAGAGAGAGAGAGAGAGAGAGAGAGAGAGAGAGAGTAACTTCCAATAAAGTCTCAAGCATTCAGACACAGCGGCGGAAATGTTTTCAGGTAATCAAAGTTACTACGGTTACCATGGCAACCACGGTTACCATGGCAACCACGGTTACCATGGCAACAACGGTTACCATGGCAACCACGGTTACCATGGCAACCGCCGTTACCAAGGCAACCACGGTTACCAAGGCAACCACGATTACCATGGCAAACACAGTTACCAAGGCAACAACGGTTACCATGGCAACCGCCGTTACCAAGGCAACCACGGTTACCAAGGCAACCACGGTTACCAAGGCAACCACGGTTACCAAGGCAACCACGGTTACCAAGGCAACCACGATTACCATGGCAAACACAGTTACCAAGGCAACAACGGTTACCATGGCAACCGCCGTTACCAAGGCAACCACGGTTACCACGGCAACCACGGTTACCACGGCAACCACGGTTACCAAGGCAACCACGGTTACCAAGGCAACCACGATTACCATGGCAAACACGGTTACCATGGCAACCACGGTTACCACGGCAACCACGGTTACCAAGGCAACCACGGTTACCAAGGCAACCACGGTTACCAAGGCAACCACGGTTACCACGGCTACCACGGTTACCACGGCTACCACGGCTACCACGGTTACCACGGTTACCAAGGCAACCACGGTTACGAAGGCAACCACGGTTACCACGGCTACCACGGTTACCAAGGCAACCACGGTTACCAAGGCAACCACGGTTACCAAGGCAACCACGGTTACCAAGGCAACCACGGTTACCAAGGCAACCACGGTTACCAAGGCTACTAGAGTAAACAAAAGCTGTAACAGGTGCCAACCTTACCGAGTGGTTTCTAAACAGAAACCCAACAATAACACGTCACAAAAGCTGGTAATTCAAAGCGAAGAAGGCCGTCTATGGCGATCCCACTCTGCCATACTGGAGGAGTGAGATCGCTGGAGGAAGAGGAGCATGGCAAGGATATGCAAAATACCCGTTATCTCCTGGGTATGACAGAAGTTTCTGATCTATGACGATTTTTTTTTCCCTTCCGTTGAAATTGGTCGAGAGTTGTGGAAAGGCTGTGAGAGGGAAGGCGTCAGAGGAAGAGAAGTAGAGAGAGAGAGAGAGAGAGAGAGAGAGAGAGAGAGAGAGAGAGAGAGAGAGAGAGAGAGAGAGAGAGAGAGAGAGAGAGAGAGAGAGAGAGAGAGACAAGAGAGACAGAGACAGAGAGAGAGAGAGAGGAGAGAGAGAGAGAGAGAGAGAGAGAGAGAGAGAGAGAGAGAGAGAGAGAGACAGAGAGAGAGAGAGAGAGAGAGAGAGAGAGAGGGGAAGGCTCGCACGGGGGAGACACGCTGAAGGGACACAAACAAGGAAAGAGAGATGGGAACCCAAAGGGAGAGAGGTGGGACAGGTTGCGGTGGGACAGGTGCGGGGTGTGTTGAGGGGGAGCGAAGAGGTAGGGAGAGAAGGGGGGGTGAGGGATGGGTAAGGGAAGGGAGCGGAAAAGGGGAAAGGGGAGAGGAGGGAGGGGGCAGGAGAGACAGATGTCGCAGATCAATAACCTCACCTCCAGCCTCACCTTCCCGGCCGGCCAACACAACTTCCGGTTAAACTCCCAACATGATGGGCTACCTTGAACGTTAACGAGGTTGTGGTGGTGTGTGGTGGTGTGGGGGTGGTGTGTCGTGGTGTGTGGTGGTGTGGGGGTGGTGTGTCGTGGTGTGTGGTGGTGTGGGGGTGGTGTGTCGTGGTGTGTGGTGGTGTGGGGGTGGTGGTGGTGTCTGTGTGTGGGGGTGGTGTGTGCTGGGGGTTGGTGTGTGTGTGTGTGTGGTGTGTGGTGGTGGTGGTGGTGGTGTGTGTGTGGTGGTGTGTGTGTGGGTGGTGGTGGTGTGTGTGTGTGTGTGTGTGGGGGGGGGGGGTGGTGTGTGGTGGGGGTGTGTTTACTAGTTGTGTTTTTACGGGGGTTGAGCTTTGCTCTTTCGGCCCGCCTCTCAACTGTCAATCAACTGTTTACTAACTACTTTTTTTTTTTCTCCACACCACACACACACACCCCAGGAAGCAGCCCGTGACAGCTGACTAACTCCCAGGTACCTATTTACTGCTAGGTAACAGGGGCATTCAGGGTGAAAGAAACTTTGCCCATTTGTTTCTGCCTCGTGCGGGAATCGAACCCGCGCCACAGAATTACGAATCCTGCGCGCTACCCACCAGGCTACGAGGCCCCTACGAGGTGTGTGTGTGTGGGGGGGGGGGGGGTGGGGGTGTGTGTGGGGGGGGTTTGGTGGTGTGTGGTGGTGGTGTTGTGTGTGTGGTGGTGTGTGTGTGTTGTGGGGGGGGGGGGGTTGGTGTGTGGTGTGTGTGTGGGGGGGGGGGATGGTGGTGGTGTGTGTGGTGGTGGTGGTTGGTGTGTGTGTGATGGTGTGTGGTGGTGGTGGTGGGGGTGGGTGGGGGGGGGTTGGTGTGTGGTGGTGGTGTGTGGGTGTGTTTGGTGGTGGTGTGTGTGTGATGGTGTGTGGTGGTGGTGGTGTTTGTGGGGGGGGGGGGTTGGTGGTGGTATGTGTGTGGTGTGTGGTGGTGTGTGGTGTTTGGGGGGGGGTTGGTGTGTGGTGGTGTGTGGTGGTGTGTGTGGGGGGGTGTGGTGGTGGTGGTGTGTGGTGGTGTGTGGTGGTGTGTGGTGTGTGTGTGTGGTGTGTGTTTGGTTTGTGGTGGTGGTGGTGGTGTGTGTGTGTGGTGTGTGGTGGTGGTGTGTGGGTCTTGTGGTGGTGGTGTGTGGTGATGTGTGGTGTGTGTGTGTGGTGTGTTGTGGTGGTGTGTGGGTTGGTGTGTGGTGGTGGTGGTGGTGTGTGGTGGTGTGCGTGGTGGTGCTGTTGTGTGTGTGCTTGTGGTAGTGGTGGTGTATGGTGGTGGTGATGTGTGGTGATGGTGGTGTGTGGTGGTGGTGGTGGTGTGTGTGTTTCTGGTTGTGGTGGTGTGTTTGTTTGTGGTGGTGGTGGTGTGTTTGTGTGTAGTGGTGTGTGTGTGTGTGTGTGTGTGCTTGTGGAGGTAATGTGTGTGTTTGTGTGTAGTGGTGTGTGTATGTGTGTGCTTGTGGTGGTAGTGGATGTGTTTGTGTGTGGTGGTGGTGGTGGTTTGTTTGTGTATTGGTGGTTTGTGTGTTTGTGTGTGGTGGTGTACTCCCACCAGTGGTGGTAGAAGTTGTACGCACCTAGTTGTGCTTGCGGGGGTTAAGCTCTGGCTCTTTGGTTCCGCCTCTCAACTGTCAATCAACTGGTGTACAGATTCCTGAGCCAATTGGGTTCTATCATATCTTCATTTGAAACTATGAATGGAGTCAGCCTCCACCACATCATTGCCTTGCCTAATGCATTCCATCTGTTAACTACTCTAGCCCTGTAAAAGTTCTTTACGTCCATTTGGCTTATTTGGTGTACTCAGTTTCCCGCTGTGACCCCTTGTTCGCGTACCTCCCTTGTTGATCAATTTATCTACTCTATCAATTCCTCTGAGAATTTTGTAGGTAGTTATCATGTCTCCCCTTACTCTTCTGTCTTCCAGTGTCGTGAGGTGCATTTCATGCAGCTTGTACTCGTAACTCATGCCTCTTAGTTCTGGGACCAGTCTAGTGGCAGAGGTCTGAACTTTTTCAAGCATCGTTTTGTGCTTGACAAGGTACCGGCTCCATGCTGGGGCTGCATACTCCAGGATTGGTCTTACATGTGTGATATACAAGTTTTTGAATGATTTCTTGCACTGGGAGGGAGATTTCATGCCTGAAGGGAGTTTTGATGTTAGCCAGCGTTGCATACGACGCAAATGTTATACTTGTGATGTGGGCTTTAGGAGACAGGTTTGGTGTGATATCAACTCCTAGATCTTTCTCTTTTTCCATTTCATGGAGGATTTCGTCTCCCATTCTGAATCCTGTATCTGGCCTCCTGTTTCCACCGCCTAGTTTCATTAACTTACATATACTCGGGTTGAATTTTAGTAGCTATTTGTTGGACCATTCATTCAGTCTGTCCAGGTCATCTTGTAGCCTCATACTATCTTCCTCCGTCTTAATCCTCCTGAGAAGTGTGGTCTACCGCTTTCTCCCCCTCCTACTAGCCTCGTTGTATCTACGGTATAATCTGGCTCTACTCTCGTTCGAAATCCTTAAAGGTTCATTCCTTGATGAGATGGACGGAGAAGGCTTCAAGAACTTCTTAATGCTCACCTCTGTACTTTATCCATTTATGTTTTTTGGGGCTTTTTAAGAAGGGGATTCCTTGTCCTGCTGCTTGTTCTAGTATTGGTCTAACTCGGGCTGTGTAGAGTGTCCTTATTTTTTGTATTAATATTGATTTTAATGTTTGTCAGCTTTCCATATGCTACCCATGTTACTCTGTTTTCGGTGTAGGTGTTGGAAATATATATATATATATATATATATATATATATATATATATATATATATATATATATTTATTTATTTCACAATACTGTTTTTTTGTTTCTGATTTACTTAGTTGCGTCCCTCTAATTTCTTCCTGTCTTGTATTTCCTTTACAATCTTCATCATCCTGAATTCTTGACTGAATTCTATCAGAATTGAATTTAATATTTTGACTGAATGGTTTGAGTTCATTTGTTTGCCGGCTCATCTTGCAATGGCCTTCAAGTAGTTGAAAGCATAGCCTTCATGTATGTCTCGACATATCTTCTCCATTTTTTAATTCCTCGTTACATATAAATTGCCCGCAAATAAGTACAAGTACTCTTCCTTAAACAAGTCATTTCCATTACTTTAGGAACATCATGGTTTGAACACCAATATATATGATATTTGTATATGATAGAGCCCAGTAGGCTCAGGAATCTGTACACCAGTTGATTGACAGTTGACAGGCGGAACCAAAAAGGCAAAGCTCAACCCCTGCAAGAACAATTAGGTGAGTACGAAGCCCTAGGGGTACCCCACTAATCATAATTTACATCTCTATTCCATCTTTAGTGTTTTATCTCAAGATTTTATTCTTAATAACATCACAGTATCCTTAACATTCCGCTCCCTTTCTCAGGGGATCTCATTTATGCATTCTTCTTCTTCACACAGCAATATTTTTACCCCCTTCAGCTGTTGGTGTGGTGTCCCTCGGTACACGCCTGGGTTGCCTTGACGATGCTCACGCCGCCAACACAACCAGAGCCCAGAGGGTCATTTCATCCAACATGGATACATTACGGTTGCTTGGGAAATCGATCTTTTCCCCACCACTATACAAGGTCTTCCCCACACCGTCCTATCAGCGTCTGGCGGCCGCCCAGGATACAATCGCCAGGTAAAGGAAAGATACAGACATTGGTTCAGTGATGGGCTTATTAAGGCCTATTTCAACCTTTGTAGGATTCTTTGAGGACACGAATCTTGCTTATCACATTGTAAAGGTTGAAGATTAACTTTTAGATACAATTTTGTATTTAATGTAACTAGATACAATTTTATCATAGAAACTGAAGGACGGATCTAAGACTTTAAATAAGACAAGAACGGGAATCTTCAGATCACAGGAGCCCCCAGGGAAAGGCCAGACAACAGCGAAACCTGCTATTCATTTCCGATCAAAAGGAAAGATGGCGCATAGGAGGCACTAAACTATAGTCCAGAATGATTAGCATGTATTCCTTGTAAGGAAGTGAGGAATATCAGGACCACAAAATCAGTAAGATTCACAGAAGGATAATCTTGCCTAACTGTCCTCATACAGCAGAATGAGAAGGTTAGGATGAAAATGAAAGAATGAAAAACCTACATATTCTCAGGCTGCTAGGAATGATGCTGGCTGAGGCCACCTGACATGATGCTAGATATCATGTCCGAGGCCACCTGACATGATGCTAGATATCATGTCCGAGGCCACCTGACATGATGCTAGATATCATGTCCGAGGCCACCTGACATGATGCTAGATATCATGTCCGAGGCTATCTGACATGATAACCGGCAGGAGACTAATTTACACACGGAAAAATATGAATGGGTCACCAAGAATTACAAATGTAAATTCTTAGACACGTGCTCCTACACTTGGGTGTGAATAAATTACTCCTTTATAACTAGAATAATAATGCAAATAATTTAAAACAAAGTATAAACATAATTTGCAAGCTACTGGAATGATGCAGGAGCTTGTAGCTATTGCATTCCAATCCCAGGCAAGCAAAGGTAAAGACATGAACAGCTGGAAGATCACCAGAGGAATCATAGTTTCGTAAAGTAAGACTACACATAGAATCTTAAACAGTAAAGATTCCAATGAGTGAACATAAAGCTGAACTTATGACATAAAAATTACAAATGCAAGAAGATTAACATTTAGGTATAGAATAGAGGGGAAAGCGAAGGAATAGCAAACATCGTCGTTCAGTCCCAAACAGCAAAAGTAAAGAGAACTAGTTACCACAAACGTAAGACCAAGGGCCAGGTTCACGAAACAGTTACGCAAGTACTTACGAACCTGTGCATCTTTTCTCAACCTTTGGTGGCTTTGTTTGCAATTATTAAACAGTTAATGAGCTCCCAAGCATCAGGAGGCTGTTTATAACAATACCAACAGTTGATTGGCAAGTTTTAAATGCTTGTAAACTGTTTAATAAATGTAACCAAAGCCGTCAAAGATTGAGGAAAGATGTACACGTTCGTACTTGCGTAACTGCTTCGTGAATCTGGCCCCTCTTGATAATACAGCTTACGACACATTACACCCAAATATCGTCACGCATATAATAATTCACCGAGAAAGCCCCCCCCCCAAAAAAAAAAAAAAAAAATTGAGCCACAAGTCTGTCTAGAATACGAACATAAACAAGAGAAACTAATCCAATGACGGGAACGAGAAGAGCCAAACGAGGCAGGACCCCATATTGCAAGCTACTCACCGACACAGTCAAGATAAACAGACACACATTATCTTAAATTGGAGGGAACAGAAAAATGGTCACAGGAGAGAGGAAAAAAAAACAACAGAGACTGGAAGGCGACAGGAAGGGACACAAGGGAGAACGCTGAAAGTGGGAACAAATGGAACGGAAGATGATAGATAACACGTGAAGAGGAAAGAGGAGGTGACAAGACATAATTGGAAATAGAACAAGATTAATGAAGTGGAATAGAACAAGGGGATACGTAAAAGAAAACAGAACGAGGGGAACACAGAATGAAAACTAGAAGCCCAAATCAGCCAGAGGGACATAAGCCCACATGGTGGTGTTCTGGTAGCCTACTCGCCCTACGCCTTGCCAGTGTTTTCGAACCCAAGTTTCGAACCCAAGTTTCGAACCCAAGCCAAGAAGGACTGCCCGGACAGCAGTCCTTACCTGTTCACCTTCATTCATCCAGCAGCAATTTGAGATGTTATAAACCCATAGTAAGCTCGAGCTCCAAGAAAAAAACATTACGGTAATTAGAAGGGACAGGTTTAAAACCGCTAGCAGAAGTCAAAAGAGAAAATTCAAGAGAAAATTATTTAATCGTGAGTACTGGGATGGTAGGAAATAGGTGGACTCGGCTACGAGGCAGCGGTTGACTTCCATTACTTGTATTTATTTGACTGCAAGCCCCTTCTTACGCTTTTGACAGCAAGCCCCTTCTTACGCTTTTGACTGCAAGCCCCTTCTTACGCTTTTGACTGCAAGCCCCATCTTACGCTTTTGACTGCAAGCCCCATCTTACGCTTTTGACTGCAAGCCCCTTCTTACGCTTTTGACTGCAAGCCCCTTCTTACGCTTTTGACTGCAAGCCCCTTCTTACGCTTTTGACTGCAAGCCACTTCTTACGCTTTTGACAGCAAGCCACTTCTTACGCTTTTGACTGCAAGCCACTTCTTACGCTTTTGACTGCAAGCCCCATCTTACGCTTTTGACTGCAAGCCCCTTCTTACGCTTTTGACTGCAAGCCCCTTCTTACGCTTTTGACTGCAAGCCCCTTCTTACGCTTTTGACTGCAAGCCCCTTCTTACGCTTTTGACTGCAAGCCCCTTCTTACGCTTTTGACTGCAAGCCACTTCTTACGCTTTTGACAGCAAGCCACTTCTTACGCTTTTGACTGCAAGCCCCATCTTACGCTTTTGACTGCAAGCCCCATCTTACGCTTTTGACTGCAAGCCCCATCTTACGCTTTTGACTGCAAGCCCCATCTTACGCTTTTGACTGCAAGCCACTTCTTACGCTTTTAACAGCAAGGCTAGCCACTTCTTGCGTCATATATTAAAGAAGTATGCTACCCCAGCAGGGAACATTTACGTAATGAAGTACAAAACTAAACTTGAAAAAGGTCAAATAAAAAGTGCCACAGGGCTTGTTCCAGAGATAAAGGGACTGAGCTATGAAGAGAGATTAAGTGGACTGGACCTCACTAATCTGTGGGAAAGAAAGAATAGCGCAGACATGATAACAACGTGAAAAATACTGATGGGGATTAAAAAAGCAGACTTAGAAACAATGTTCAAATTAAGGAATAATGAAAAGAGATATACTTTGAATCTAGACACACAGATGAGTCAAAGGGATATCAAAAACAACGTTTTGAACCCAAGAGTCTTAACTAAGTGGAATGGACGGGGTGAGGGAAGTTATCGAAGACAATTCAATACACAGCTTTATATGACAAGAAAAGCCAGTGTTAAAAGTTACAGCACTGCATCAATAATGATCCTAAGGCGGGGTTTAAGAGCAAATGTTCGACCCTGTCTGTTAAGCTTGGTGAGTACACACACACACACAGGTTTGCTTCCAGGTTGTGGAAGCAAATACTATTCATAATTTTAAAACCAGGTATGATAGGGAAATGGGACAGGAGTCATTGCTGTAAACAACCGATGCTCGAAAGGCGGGATCCAAGAGTCAATGCTCAATCCTGCAGACACAACTAGGTGAGTACACACACACACACACACACACACACACACACACACACACACACACACACACACACACCAGCAGCGTTATTTATTATACCCAGAACACACTACTCGCAATTCTCTCCTCCATCACTCACTACCTTCTAACCTCAATTGTTGCAGGATCGTGCAAGAGGAGGTGCTCCTCCGTCAGGCAGAGCGGGCATCGGATCCCCACGGATTCTCCTCCAAGCACCCGTTCCTTGACTCCCTCCTGACCAACAGCAATCTATCCCCAAGTGACGTCTTTCTTCTACTGGCGGAAGTGTTTCAAGGTGGCATTGATGCGGTAAGTTGGATATATATATATTCGGCCACCAGGCCCTGTTTTTTGCTTCAAGGCAGGATATCAACCTTTATATCATCCAGCAGCCGGTCCGGAAGACTTATTCATCAATTTATATATCATGTTCAGTTAGGTGTTTAGGTTCTGTTAAAAATTATTTGTATTTGTAATACGTGGATAAAAAATTTAACAGTGGCGATTCGAACAGAGGTTGGCAACGAAGCTCTGTTCGAGAACTGTTCGAACGTCATCAGTTGTGAGTCGTGTGTAAAGCGTTTTTCATCCATAAAGCGGGAGGACCTGGCGGCTGCCTGGAATGAACATTGGTCTTTGACGATGAGGACGGCCCGCTGGCAACAGGGAATGTTGTGCATCAGTTAAGGTTGTCTCCCTTCTATTACCGGACTTGTCCTCCTCTCCTTCCATTCTCACGTGTGAAGGACCAACATCAGTTAAACGCAAACAAGTTTTAGTGAAGGCATATTGTTTGTACTGTCTATGTAAGGGACACTATTATATGTTCTTCAAGGGACTGGATAACATGTACTTCAAGCCACTAGATAGCGAGACGCCAAGACCTGTGGTCTGTTCACAATATTAAATTCTTGCACGCTCCAAGGATTCTAAAAAAATGAGAATAAATGTTGTGCAGGGAGCAGGAACGTGGAGAATGTGTCTGTGGATGATATACAACATGCGAGATGGGGCGAAAGATCTATTGCTCTAAGAGAATGTGACAGCAGGAGATATTTTCGATGTTCTTATACGTTTTAAACCAGTAGTATGACTCAGTTATTTATATATATATATATATATATATATATATATATATATATATATATATATATATATATATATATATATATATATATATATAGATATGAATATATAAATTTTCTGTGCATCATATTAATTAAGAGTTTCCAGGCACTTTGTTTCGCATCAACAAGGAAAAGTTTTATTATGCAAACGAGTTCGCGAGCGGACCAGCTAACTTATTTTTTATCGCGTGAAGGTTGTAAAATAGACCATTTGGTTAATCTGAATCAAATGGTGCATTTAATACTTACTGACCAATCAGGCCTTGTATAAATATATATAACAAAAACTCATTCGAGATTAATTGGTTTAATCATATACGATTTCTTGTGCAGTGCATAATTAATTGAGTCATTGTACGATTGTACGTGTCCGTGTATGATTTATCGTGTCCGTGTATGATTTATCGTGTCCGTGTATGATTTATTGTGTCCGTGTGTAACATATGCTTTCAACATAAATTCTGTGTTGCATTTATCGATAAATTTGTGAGCCAACGCACAAGGCCTCAAATATAGCAGCATAACCTATCCTTTCACGTAATGCCCTTCATTTGAAACGCTATCGACCGCAGCGTCAAACATCCATTGCTTCAGTGAAAATCAAACCACGTCAACATGTACGCTTTCCTGAAACTAATGAACATTCATTTGGGCTTGTCGGAGTTAGACCACCACCACCATGTTACGTTTGACGTCATGTGGGTAGTGACGTTAGTGAGGAATATCTTCCCTTCAGACGGCGACGACGTTGGCCTTCTGCGTGTACTTCTTGGCCAGGGACCAGAGGACCCAAGACCTACTCCTCCAGGAGGTGAAGGATATCGACCCAGCCACCCATTCTCTGCAGGTAAGAAAATCACTCTTGCGTCTAGGGCGAGAGATGTTTAATATCCTGTTTGAAAAATTCTCTGAATATTGGATTGAATACTTCCTCCCACTGGTAATAAAAAAAACTCTCGGGTAATCTATACCATTTTTTTGCATGGACATATTTAAGCCGATTTAATGTTGTTTACTCAAATATGAACATTATTAATGTATACGCAAATTTAATTCTTGGTAATGTTGTGTGTGTGTGAGTCTTGCTCGCGATACGCAGATTTGGGCCGTGTTTATTTTGCGTACGTATGAGCTTTGAGGAAAGTGACTACACATTTTAATGTCTGAGTGAGAGAAAGGTTTTTAACATTATATTTGCCTTTTAACAGCTAATTTTAGGCATTTCATGCATGCAAATTTCTTGTTCTGTCGCATCCTCATGTTACTCGAAGCTATCATCAACAGTATTTGAAATTGAGTGATCACAGTCTACTGACTCCTCCTTCCTCGGCGTGCTTCGGATTTTTCCCCCTCAACTGCCTATTATTTCCGTGCAGAAAGTTTTTCATCATCGTTGTGGTCACGGACCGTTACAGGGCTGTTAAATGTTTATGGGAGAGGGTCAGATTCATCTCACTCATCAAAGTTATGTCAGTGTAACTTAAAATTTCACAAAATTCAACTTTTTATTTCTGAATACTTTGTAGAAAAAATATGTCAGAAAACCAGCTCAGTAATCTAAACACAATATATGTAATATATCTAAATTTCGTACGTTCACGAGACAGATTTTATGCATTACGATACGAAACAAGTTTTGAACAATTAAAATAATAAAATTTCACACATAAGAATTTGTTAATAAATCTGTTAAAAAAAGATAAATACATTTAGATAAAAATCATTTAAACATCAGTAAATCTTGAGTAGTTTTATTTCATCGTTAAAAGTCCCCAAAGTTTTTTATTTATTCATCAAGACGAACTATAAACTATTTCAACATATTCTTGGGTAAGATAATGCGCGATTTACTTCTTCAGCACATCCAGTCATATATGGAATTAGTATTAACTTTGCTTGAAGACGTAATATGTTGCTTTACTGTGAACAGAATTTCTCCCTCCCTATCTGTCTCTGCGCTCCGGTCGATAATGTGATTTTATCGCCTCGAAATGGAGTGGGTGGAAATGGGATCAGGTATTTTGAGTGACCTTGATCTTGAAGCGATTTAGGTGATTTATTTTCCATTCGAAAAGTTTGCTCGTAAAGGCAACAGGTGCTGGCTATGAGATCAAGACAGACACAGGCAAACTCAGCTTTCGACGTGGTATTCGCTTCGGGAAAAAATAAATATTCCTGAAGGCGGTGACTTCCTTCTCCAGGGACTGGTGTATCTGCGAGCGGTGGTGCAGGAGACGTTGAGGCTGCGACCCTCGGCATCCTCCAGGAGCCGAGTCATCCAGGAAGACACAGTGTTCTCCGGCTACCTGGTGCCAAAAGGAGTGAGTGCCACCTTATGTAGTTCCTCTTCTGCCTGCCACAGCAAGCGGTGAGTACCCCCTCTTGCGTAGTACCTCCTCTGCCTGCTGCAGGAAGCTGTGTATCAATTTATTATCAACTTATCTTAGTTAATGTTCATCATTCCAGCTCAAAATGAGTTACCTTCATGGAGCATCAGTTACCATAATCCTACCCGTTTGTGATTCCTCGTTTGACGGCAATGAGTCCATCAGACTAATGCAGAAGGGGTTCTCTAGGCAAGCTAAATTTTACAGTTACTCTGAGTCTCTGACGGTAAGGATCTTACCAATAACGCCTGAAATTAGTTGTTGTTGTTAATTATTTTACCTTCTGGGAACTAATATTTCCATGTTATGGTGAGCCTGTAACTGAAATTGGTTTCTAAGTCTCTTTCTTCTCCTCCCAGACGTACGTCACCTCACCTCCTGTAGTCTCATGCCATGACCCAGGAGTCTTTCCGGAGCCCGAACTCTTCAGGCCAGAACGTTGGATTCCCGGGTCTACCCCGCTGGACGTGGCGTCGACGCATGGTAAAGATGGAATGGCTTCGGGGAGCAAGATTCACCCTTTCACCGTTCTGGCGTTTGGTCACGGCGCTCGCATGTGTCCAGGCAGACGTCTGGCCGAACAGGAGATCAAGCTCGCTCTCATCCAGGTACGTAATGTAGATGCAGTAATATATATATATATATATATATATATATATATATATATATATATATATATATATATATATATATATATATATATATATATATATATGTCGTACCTAGTAGCCAGAACGCACTTCTCAGCCTACTATGCAAGGCCCGATTTGCCTAATAAGCCAAGTTTTCATGAAATAATTGTTTTTCGACTACCTAACCTACCTAACCTAACCTAACCTAACTTTTTCGGCTACCTCACCCAACCTAACCTATATAGATAGGTTAGGTTAGGTTAGGTAGGGTTGGTTAGGTTCGGTCATATATCTACGTTAATTTTAACTCCAAGAAAAAAAAATTGACCTCATACATAATGAAATGGGTAGCTTTATCATTTCATAAGAAAAAAATTAGAGAAAATATATTAATTCAGGAAAACTTGGCTTATTTGGCAAATCGGGCCTTGCATAGTAGGCCCAGAAGTGCGTTCTGGCTACTAGGTACGACATATATATATATATAAATATATATATATATATATATATATATATGTCGTACCTAATAGTCAGAACGCACTTCTCAGCCTACTATGCAAGGCCCGATTTGCCTAGTAAGCCAAGTTTTCATGAATTAATTGTTTTTCGTCTACCTAACCTACCTAACCTAACCTAACCTAACTTTTTCGGCTACCTAACCTAACCTTACCTATAAAGATAGGTTAGGTTAGGTTAGGTAGGGTTGGTTAGGTTCGGTCATATATCTACGTTAAATTTAACTCCAATAAAAAAAATTGACCTCATACATAATGAAATGGGCAGCTTTATCATTTCATAAGAAAAAAATTAGAGAAAATATATTAATTCAGGAAAACTTGGCTTATTAGGCAAATCGGGCCTTGCATAGTAGGCTGAAAAGTGCGTTCTGGCTACTAGGTACGACATATATATATATATATATATATATATATATATATATATATATATATATATATATATATATATATATATATATATATATATATATATATATATATATATATATATATATATATATATATATATATATATATATATATATATATATATATATATATATTACTGTTATATATATATATATATATAATATATATATATATATATATATATATATATATATATATATATATATATATATGTCGTACCTAGTAGCCAGAACGCACTTCTCAGCCTACTATGCAAGGCCCGATTTGCCTAATAAGCCAAGTTTTCATGAAATAATTGTTTTTCGACGACCTAACCTACTTAACCTAACCTAACCTAACTTTTTCGGCTACCTAACCTAACCTAACCTATAAAGATAGGTTAGGTTAGGTGAGGTAGGGTTGGTTAGGTTCGGTCATATATCTACATTATTTTTAACTACAATAAAAAATAATTGACCTCATACATAATGAAATGGGTAGCTTTATCTTTTCATAAGAAAAAAATTAGAGAAAATATATTAATTCAGGAAAACTTGGCTTATTAGGCAAATTTGGCCTTGCATAGTAGGCTGACAAGTGCGTTCTGGCTACTAGGTACGACATATATATATATATATATATATATATATATATATATATATATATATATATATATATATATATATATATATATATCCTTCTGGGGTGTGAAGTGAATCCTTCTGAGGTGTGGAGTTTTCAATTATATTATTGTTGAAGTACGGCTTTCACCAACCACTGATTACTAATTATCTTTATACCTGTTAAAAATCTCTATAAACAACATTATAATTTGGTTTCCAGTCTGTCTATGAACGGCTAGAGCTACCGTATAATATATGAAATATTGCATAAACGTGTCCATCGTTTATCTTTCCATGGCAACAGCTTGTGCAATGCTTCAAGATGGAGGTGGAGAACACGACTGAAGATGTCACCATCGGCCAAGTAATGCGTCTCAATATGATGCCTGAGAAGCCTTTCGCTATCAGGTTCATACCACGAAATAATACCAACACATAAGTCTCTCTCTTGTCATATATTGTAGAGAAAGTTTTATGTGGTTTAGAACGAGCTCAAGGAATAAGAGATTTCTGAATGACATTTAGTTTTCATGGATATAAAAACTAACGTTGAAATGAAAAATTTCAAAGTTAACATAAGTAGAATGGGTCTGAAAACATGAGGAAAACAGAGTATTGCTGGAATTAGAGAGAGAGAGAGAGAGAGAGAGAGAGAGAGAGAGAGAGAGAGAGAGAGAGAGAGAGGAATGAGGCTGAATTAAAATAAATTGTAATCATTAAATGTAAGAAAACAGGGTCACCCACCTCCTTCTAACTATTTAATTCCGGTATTAACTTAAGCCTGGGTCTTACTAAAAAAAAAAAGAACAAACAGTTGGACTACAACTCAGTCGGTACTGCTTTATTTTTAATTTTATAATTACATATTGTGGCGTTAATTTTTATTTCACAGTAAATTTAATAAAGAATAATAATACAAATGTCTCGTTATTATATAAAACAACCTTTTAAACAAATGGATTTTATTAATTTGATTGAATAGTGGTGAAAATACCATTATTAAAATGTTCTGGTGGTATATGTGTATAAAATATACATTCATTACAAAATACCTTGAGAAACAGATGTATTTTTTTCTACAACAGGTTATTATGTCATTGAAGTGTATAATGGAATATTCGATATCAAGTTTATATCAGGCTGCCGTGGGACAGCTCTTGAAGTGACACGATTCCATGCAGCATGATATCAAAGGCCTGTAGGTTTTAATTCCACTTAGTGTAAATGAGGCTTCCTGCATATGAAACCAGATGCCTACAGGATCATAGGTTCTAATCTGGTGCTAGTGAGAAGTTTGTCAATATCCCACTAGAAGCGGGTAAATTCAAGACATTTATTGCTCCTCTTTTTTTCAAGTCTTTTTTTAAGTCTTGATTTTATAAATGAAAACACCGTCACGAAAGTTGCATCAGGTTTATGACTTGTTAATAAGGTACACAATGCTAAGTAATATGACGTGGAGTTACGTAACACTGGTGGTAAAGGATACCCCTCCAAATTTACAAACATAATTAAATGAATTGTATCACGTTAGGATGCAGACGAGGAGTTACAATAACGTGGCTGAAATATGTTGACTCAACCACACAGTAGAAAGTGAAGGGACGACGACGTTTCGGTCTGTCCTGGACCATTCTCAAGACGATTGTAAGAATCGACTTGAGAATGGTCCAGGACGGACCGAAACGTCGCCGTCCCTTCACTTTCTAGTGTGTGGTTTGGTCAACAATTCAGAATAAAAGTATATGGTAATGATGCAGTTGTTTATACGTTAATTACTGACGGATTTACCACGTCAGGACCTTATCCTCTTTGCTAATTCCCTTGACGTCAACGCTCTAAGTCCTTCCTCACACGTCTCAGAGTATAGCCAGACCCCCATTGGAGCAAATATCTTTTCTCTGAATGAAAATGTTTCAACTTCCTAAACTTGATGTTGTTGGCGCTTTGTCGTCGATCTCCACTGATCGGCTGCTCTACATTTACATAATGTTACCTTCTGCCAATGCTCGTATTGGCCTAACATGTCTTCATTTCACTTGTATTATCTATTTCCATTATTCGTCTTTATATGGGAGTGAATATTGAGAAGAGACCTTCTTCTGGGCAATAACAAGTTTGAAATCCCGATCCACTATTCATAGGTACTGTTGATTCTCTCCGAAAATACATCTTTCAGAACACTCCCTGATATCAGGATCAAAATCTGAAATCTTATGCTGATTGTTTACGTGTACGGTTTACGCTGACTGGCGTATATATGTTAAAAAAAAAGGGTCAATACTGCTGTTCAGTTATGTTATGTTTCTAATGTTATTATGTTCAGTCATTATAATTCATCGTATTTACGCACGTAGATTCTGCATATTAAATCGCTATGTCCTTGTTTACTAGCTCTGTTAACACCCATTGTACACCTTGCAGTGTGCTGTTCATTACACCGTACATCATTTATATTCACTGTTACTCACTGCCACTATAATAGTCACTGTGACCGATACTTTTCAGGGTAACTTATGAACACCATATCCCATTATACAAGGTAACATAATTATTGCACACTGACAAAAAATTTGCACTGTGTCTTCAATATTTACTTCACCGGGACTCATAGTCGGGCACATGCACAGTACCTTATAGTGTAAAACGTGTACAAAGAACTTCAATTAGTTATCTTATTAGCAGTTATCTTATCTACCATAGAAGGATTTCTTCAAGAGCACTAAAATATTACCATCATTTCAAATACTGACCATCATAACTTGATCATGTCTCCCCATAACCCATCACGAAATGAAATTGTGGCTTCCCGTAGCCTCAAAGTAACTTAATTATACCTATTCCCGACCCTACGATAACTTAAGCCATCTCATGAACCCTTCGTAGTTGATCGCTAGTCATTCCCCCTCTGCATACGTTATGTCAGCTTCTTATTGCTATCCCATAAACATAATTCTTGCTTCGTTGCTCTGATAACCCCACCTCAAACTGCCTTCCAAGGAGGTAGATCCGAGCCTTCCGGTTTCTCCACTACATCGTTGCTTCAAGACGGCCGTTGAATGCGGTGCCATCCACTATTATCTTACAGCCAGTGTAGTGCCAAATGAAGAACAATACAAACAAGCAGAAGCCGCTCAACTACATATATGCCAGTTCTGCCTTCATGCGTGCCACGCAAGGCGATAGACATAGACACTAGTAAAGGGGTTAACAATATATCTGGAAAGAATTATTTTTATTTCACAACAGCATGGGTCCAGGGATGGTAAGTTTAGACTCACAAATTTGATTGAGTTCTATGATCTGGCGACCGAGTTCAGTTTTCGACACAGCACACTATAGGAGACAATAGTGTACAAAACAGGGAGAGAGGCAGAAGTAACAAAGAAGTTGTTCTATTGATATATAAATATATCTTTCCAGAGAAGATAGGTTCTAAGGAAGTACGATCGAAGACTGCAAGACACTGAAGAATGGTCTGGATATAATGAAAAAAACACTAGTACAGCAAAGTTTAACACAAGCAAGGTACTATATAGCAGAGAAAAAACTCATCTTGAAATAGGACAAAATAAAAGTCTTGGTAGCTAAATTTAACCGAATCTCCCACAAGAAGCCCACAACAACAACTGAATATCATCAGCTGCAGTTACAAGACTGACCAAAAATAGAATTGCGTTCTGGAATCTGAACAAAGTGTCGTTCAATATCTTGAAAATCATTTATCTAAGACTAATACTTGAGTTTACGGCTCAGGTCTGGAAGATGGTTCAAAGGGACTAGTCACAGGGCTTAGAGGTATTAGTTATAAGTAAAGTCGAGTTAAACCTCAAGTTACGAGAAAACAAAAGAAACGTGAGAGACATGGTCACCACATACCAAATTTTCATGAAATAGGGTAGACAGGGACAAACTATTTAGCACAAATAGTACAAGAACAAGGAAAATTTCCGTAGTTTTCTGCCTTATACAAAGCACAATCCAATCATTATATGTAAACAAAACGAAATAAATCCATCAGAAGTTCATCTCTGATAAGAAAAAAAGGAAGTGAGGCAATCAGAATAATCCCCACATATTCCAGCAACTCAATCACAGGACGCCATTCATTCACCGTGACCTACCTGCACTAACTTTGTCCAGCAGAGTTACCTGAGTGACCTTAATGGAATCAGAGACTGTGCCAACAGGGATCTGCAACAAGAAATGTTTCAACAGGGCAGGTACGACGGACCGATGCAATAGGAATGGGGGAAACACGAATGGGTAAACAGGGTGAAACAGAGTGGCGTCACCTCATGAGGGCATCCTTTGCTTGTGGACAGTGTCTGCACAACATGAGCAGACAAGCATATTTCCCATATTTCCAATATATTAGACAGCATATTTCACACAATATTGTGAGCATATTTCACAATCGACTTGAGAATGGTCCAGGACGGACCGAAACGTCGTCGTCCCTTCACCTTCTAGTGTGTGGTCTGGTCAACATGAACAGACAAGCTTTTGAGTTTTTGAGCAGACAAAGAGGGCACAATTAAGTAGCAGGAATGTGTAGACATCCAACCCACAACTTTGGAAACAAAAGAATGAAATTGCAACATTCGATCCGTCGTGGTACCTACTTGATACCTGCTTGATGGGGTTCTGGGAGTTCTTCTACTCCCCCAAGCCCAGCCCGAGGCCAGGCTTCACTTGTGAGAGCTTGGTCCAACGGGCTGTTGCTTGGAGCGACCCGCAAGCCCTAGCAGTACTATTATCAGTTCACGACTTGACAATCGTTCAGAACGGACTTAACATAGTCATTTAATTGTTAACTCTCGTTAAAAGCATTCTTAACCCTCGTTTAACCCGTTATATCTTGCTATAAAGACCGGCCTTTAATACCGTATGATTACGGAGCTCGCAATGGACCTTTAAATATATAGTGCTCATTATTTGCTTTAGAACACCTTGTTCTTAATATATGTTACGTTCTATACAATAACCATATAATAACCATACATAGTTTCATACAATAGCCACCAATACAGTTATTAGCACAGTTTACCTCCAAATAATCATTAACCACCGCCAAATATACATTAACCACCGATAGTTCAATACAATCTCCGATAGTTCAATACAATAACCACCGATAGTTCAATACAATAACCCCCGATAGTTCAATACAATAACCCCCGATAGTTCAATACAATAACCCCTGATAGTTCAATACAGTAACCACCTATATAGCAACCACTAATGCAATACCCAATCATACTTCCATTCAACTATCATTAAAATTTCCATCAACTTGTCATCTACAGAGCCACATGCTAGCCGTTTCATATTTCGCTCCACAAACAAGGAATGATCTGGGTTCGACTCTCGGCGGTAAACCTGTAGTCTATATTACTCAAAAACCAACTGTGGTCTTTATTACTCTGATAGTTATTTTGTTTCCCCAACAACCATCCATTTTGAAATAGAATATTTCCTCAACTCTTTTTAGAATCAAGTAGTTACACTGAGGTTGTTATGCAATGTAAAAAGCCAGTACCTGCTGATTTATAAGGACTTGGCGGGGGGTAGGGGCAATAGCTTTTTGGAAATCGTATCAGCTAATGAGTTATATAGGTATTATTTATTAATTTAATTCTACGACAGTCATTTACGTAGGTTAACATAAATATATTGCCTAATGTTGAATATTTATCTTTGAAAACCTTACTTAAATTAAGAGACACAGAGGAGTCATCCATTGAAGTTTGGATGATCTTTTGCGTGAACCTTTTATTTTAATAATTTCACACCCAGAAATCATTTAACAAAAATATTCTTTCACAAGTTATGCCAAATGACAAATTTATTTTGAAGTCCTCAAACATGATCACTCCAACAACGCAAACCTCTTCGATTTGTTTTGAAACGGATATACT